AAAAAAAAAAAAAAAAAGAAATGACTATACACATGGACCTCACCAGATGGAATACACAGAAATCAAATTGACTGTATCTGTGGAAAATCTCCATGTCATTAGCCAAAATAAGGACAGGGGCAGACTGTGGAACAGACTATCAATTGCTCATAAGTAAATTCAGGCTGAAGATAAAAAAAATGAAAATAAGTCCATGCAAGCCAAACTATGACCTTGACTATATCCCACCTGAATTTCAACATCATCTGAAGAACAGATTTGATGCATTAGACACTAAAAACTGCAGACCAAAGAGTTGTGGGATAATATCAAGAACATCATAAAGGAAGAAAGCAAAAGTCATTAAGAAGACAAGAAAGAAGGAAAAGACGAAAATAGAAGTCAGAAGAGATGCTGAAACTTGCTCTTCAGCATAGAGTGCTAAAGCAACTGTAAAATGGGAGGAGACACAATAGCTGAACGGAAAATGTCAAAGGTCAGCTCGAGAAAACAAAGTCAAATATTATAACAAAATGTGCAAAGACCTGGATTTAGAAAACCAAAAGGGAAGAACATGCTCAGCATTTCTCAAGCTGAGGAAACTGAAGAAAAATTTCAAGCCTCGACTTTCAATTTTGAAGGATTCTATGGGCAAAACATTGAATGATGCAGAAAGCATCAAAACAAGATACAAGGAATACAGTAAGTCACTATACCAAAAAGAAATGGTCAATGCTCAACCACTTCAAGAGGTAGCATATGATCAAGAGCCAATGATCCTGAAGGAAGAAGGACCAGTCCCTGGAGCACGACTGGGCTGTGTTTTGTTCTGTTGTGCATAGAATCACTATAAGTTGGAATCCACTTGATGGTACCTAACAACAACCACCACCACAAATGTCAGGAACTTTTAAAAGAGCTATGATATTAAGTAGAAAGGAAACTCACCATTGGGAAACTGTGCAGAGGCAAATCTTGTCAATAAGATACCAGCTCCTTCAATTAAAGCTAGAAGAATGCCACCCATTGCAGCTGACCCAACCATGGCCACTGGTCCATCTGCAGATATTAATAACAGGGATTAATTAGTAGATATCTAATATAATGTAAGATACAACAAAGGAAAGAGCTGTCCATATGGCTACATGCGCCTCCCATTTACAAACCTTCTTTCTTATTGGTCAGCAAATTATAGCCCACAGATCAAATGCAACCTACCACCTGTTTTTGTAAAGTTTTACTGAAAGCAGTCATGTTCATTCATTTAGTTTATCATCTACGGTTACTTCCAGAGTCCTGGGTGATGCAAACAGTTAAGCACTTGACTACAAGCCAAAAATGTGGTGGTTTGAACCCACCTGAGTCCCCTCGGAAGACAGGCCTGGCAATTTGTTTCTGCAAGGTCACAGCCCTGGAAACTCTATGGAACAGTTCTACTCTACACATGTGGCATCACCATGAGCTGGAACTGACTTGACAGTGACTAACAATGTGACTGCCTTCACTCTGGAAGAGCAGAAATGAGCATTGTGACAAAGACCATATGCCCACAAAGTCTGCAAATATTTACTATCTGGCCCTTTACAGAAAAAGTTTGCCAATATTTGGCAAAGACCACAATGTCCAAAAAAAAGTTCTGGTTGCTCTCTGTCCCGAAGACCCAGAAGATGACTCTACACTCTTTATTCATAACAATTCTTTGTGACAGATACTATTATTAACTTCAAAAAATCATGAAATTATAGCACAAGTTTAGCAAACTGATCAGTCATACCATTTACTATACAGCTGGTAAATGACAGATATGTGACTTGAACTGCTTTACTGCAATGTAAAACGATAAGCACTCCATACTGTCTCATTCTCAAAAATCCAATTAAATAGATCCCCTACATTTCTGCCCCGTTAACATCACCATATACATCCATGCTATTGCTTACTTCTTGCTGCCAGTATGGCTCCTGTTAAGGCACCGCTTGTGATGGAGTTCCAGGGATCTTCTTTCCCTCTGACTTGAACCATACTACAGTCAATCATGGAAAACAGACCACCCCAAACGGCAAAGCTGCCTATTAAAATCAATCAATAAATATTTAAAATGTTACAATCAAAAATAAGTTTAAACACCATTCAGGCTACTTTTTTAAAACTCTCATACTCCAAACAAATACATGGAAACACAAGTTGAGTAAACACGGAACGAAAGTCAGAATACTTGTCTTTTAAATAAAACCCTGAGCTCCAGTAGCGTAGCGGTTATCAGTTGTGCTGACAACCTCAAAGTCAGCAGTTTGAAACTACCAGCAGTTCCGCAGTAGAAAGATGAGATGTTCTGCTCCAGTAAAGATTTACAGCCTCGGAAACTCTGTGCAGGGTCACTATGAATTGGAACCGACTCCACGGTACTTAACAACAACTACTAAAACTCTGGGTTATATTCTACCAGCTGAAAATTTTGCAATGGCCCAAAGCCTAAAAGAAAGATAACCTGCATGAGCCTAAACATATTCAAGTGCCCTTCAGAACAACGTGTCCTTGGTTCAAATAGCAACAAACAAAAACACCCTCCTTTGTACTTTCTCTTTTTTTAAAGTTTTTATTGTGAATTCTATGATAGTTTACTTGGGAGAACATTAGCTTTACATTCATCCTATTGTATTTCGTTTCATTGAAATGATTACAATCCCCTATATGCTTCATCAAACAACCAAAGCGTATACCTTGCAAGCCTGTTCCGCGGCAGTCAGCACACAGCACCTCTCCTTCCCTGAGTCTAGAGTCCCCAGCCGCTCCACTTCTCCATGTCATCATTTATGCCTCTATCTCTGGTGTCACTCTTTCTCTGGGTAGGGTCCTGCACTACGCTCTTCTCCCTTGATGGTCCCAGGGACCTCCACTCCTGGACTGCAAAATCAACCACTCCCCTCACTCCCCTCCTTTTGTTACAAAACATCTACCTTCACATTTCCAACCCTCACAGTCAGTCCTGATAGCGATTATTCACCATTGTACAAGTCTTATGCCCATATCCTTTCATCAGCCCCATGCCAACAGACTGGAAACCACTCAGTGGAGATTCTACCTTCCCCTGCACCCTATAGAACTAGGCTTCCTCTTGAAAGCTTGTAAGCCAGTCATTTCTTGCCTTTGTAGCTCCCCCATTTTGGGTAGTCAATGTTTTTCAGTTGCCCATCCCTGTCAACCCTGTGTACCGAGGGGGTAGAAGTAATTCTCGCTTTAAAGATTTGTTCCCTCTTTTAAGATACTACATCCACAAGTATAGGTTGAGTTCATCAAATCATAGTGCATTACTCTTTTTTTCCTCTTTTCTTCTTCTAGTCAAGTTCTGATCATCCAGCCATTGAAGCCAGGTCAAGTGTGTACTATCTGCAAGTGTAAGTGTTCTTGTGCATCTCCCCTCACTTCATATCAGCTTGGATGCTTCAATCGCTGCTCTAGTTTTCTGCGGCCATGTCACTATCTCTTGATTCAGGAGTCTTAACCCCAGGGCTTGCCATATTGTTGGCCAACCAGGTCTCCACCTGGGTTCACAAGAGTTTATTGAATGTGGTCAGACTTAGCTCACATCTTCATTGCTGTTTTCCCCCCACTTCCCCTTGTTGGTGACCAGTGTGGTCACCAGCAAGACCACATGCCTGCTCGTGTATTCCCCTTGAGTCTTAAAGTCTTAGAAGGGGGTTTGCTTGCTTTGAGGGGACCCAACCACTTGCCTTGATGGCTCTTGGGCATGTCCTCTCTCTTTTATAGCTCTTCTGTACCTTTATTTTTTCTTTTCTTCATTAAGTGTCATTGAACATCTATTCTACAAGAATCACCAATGATGGGTGAACAAAAGAAACCCAGCTATTCTGGCATGTATTACAAGCACAAACCAGTACATGTTCAAGGGCTAATGAATGATACAAATATTAAGAATTACGGAATGTAAAGGGATAGAAATAACCTTTCCTTTCTCCTTTTTTATCCTTTTCTATTTCTCAAGCAGAAAACATAAAACAACCTTTAATCAGATTATTTTGCACTTACATTTCATTCTTGCAACTCAGTAATTCTACACCTTGGGTGAGAGATATGGTATCTAGGTATATTAGAATTACCAAATAAATTTTTCAAAGACTCTCCCACTTCCTCCTAAGAGTCTGAAATCCCTGCCAGCATAAACTATGGTTGTTGATGAGAGGGTATCCATGAACTCAGCCAGTCTAGTACACGGTATCAGAGTCCAAGCAGACCGACGGGGGACCCACAAGGAAGGGTAGCCTGGTATGTTGTGTTACAAGTGTATCCATGTGGAAAGGCCATCTGGTGAGGCATGCCAAAGTCTACACGGAGCAGAGAGGAAAGGATAAATATGAAAAGAAAGAAAATAAGAATAAGCTCTGCAAGGCTGGGTTGGAATTAGAAATATCACTGTGAACTCTTAATTTTCAGTATAGCTGTGGTTGTTGTTAAGTGTCATCGAGTCAGTTCTGACTCATAGAGACTCTGTATAGAGTTTCCGGGGAGTAGCTGGTGAGTTTGAACTGCCTATCTTGAGGTTAGCAGTTCAGTGCTTATCCTACAGAGCCACACCAGGACTCCCTCAGTATAGATAAAAATAAATATAAATTTGTGTGTGCACATATATGTGGTGGGTAGCGAAGTGGTTACGAATTGAGCTGTGAACCGCAAAGTCAGCAGTTCGAAACTACTAGCTGTTCCACGGGAGAAAGATAAGGCTTTCTGTTCTCGTAAAGGTTTACAGCCTCGGAAACCCTGTACAGGGTTGCTATGAGTTGGAACCGACTCCACGGCACATAACAACAACATCTGTGTATGTTTACATATCTACATACACACTATCCGCTAGACCTAGGTGTACCTGGGAATATCAACACCTCAGAAATAAAAAATATACTTTGTACCCAGATTGTCATTTTTAAATCCCATTCTCAACTAAAAGGGCTCTTTGGAAATGGCTTCATTTGGGGTTGGGATAGGGATAGTACAAGAGCCTAGAATATCTTGTTCTAAAATATAAGGAAGTGTTCAAAGAATAATGGGGGCATGCCAAAAGCACATCATCTTTATTTCCACTATGAAAAGATACGACCTTTAAGGACACAACTGCAACATCTGCATGTTGCCTGTCCCTCTGGAACTTGATTCGAAGACCTCAGTAAATGTTCACTGAATTCATTGAAAGAATGAAGCAATATTGATACATTATTATTAAAGTCCATGCTTAATTTTGTTTTCTACTCCAGAATACCCCATTAGATTTAGATTTAGTCATTATGCCTCCTTAGGCAGCTCTTGGCTATTACAGTTACCTGATTGTTGTCACACTCATTTAAAATGCATCAAGTGATATAAATAGCCTCTCAAAAAACATGTAAAAACTGCTATGACTTCTGAATATATTGGAGGTTTAGGGTTTCTCAAGGACATCAAAGTATTCTGAATTAATACGATAATCATTAAAACAAAGGAAAATTATGTAACTTTATTTTTCAGGCATAAAATTATTAGAGGGAAGATAAAAATAGGATTTATTCATTACTTCAACCCTGAAGTCTCAATTTCATTGTCTGGAAAATGGGAATATTAATGGAAACCCTATACAGGGTTACAATGAGTCAGAACTGACTTGACGGCACTTAACAACAACAACCTCTTGGATAGATTTCTTTAAGGATTAAATCAAATGCTTTAAAATACTTTGCATTATACTTGGCACATAGTAAATACACAATACTGGTAGCTATTAGATAGTATCGTCCAAAGAAAATTATGCTAAAAACAAAAAGAACAGCTTTTCTGATCCACAAAATTTCTAAGGAATTAACAGAAAAAAATTAAGTATTTTTTGTATCTCACATACTGCTTGCCTTTACAACCTTATTAAGTGAATACAACCTCTAAACTTTTTTTGTTCCAAGCTTCTTTAAAAAAACAAACAAAAATCCCTCACCTTTCTTCTCTAGGTTCAGAATAACGAAGTCTAAAAGGTATAATTAATATTTTCAAATTTTGCAGTGACCTCTACAGATGTGTAAAAGCTAACCTTGGAGAAGAGCCCAATCAGTTTGTTCAGTTTCTCTCTCATGAAATCCCAATCCTTCAGATCACATTCTCTTCAGTTTTATGTAACCTCGGAAGCTATCATTCCTGATTTTCACAAACCTGACCTTTAAAGAGATTGGCTTCCTTCTGGATAAGGAAAAAGAAACAAAACAAAAAAACCCCCAAGATTTTGAAGGATGAAGACAAGATTTTCAAGTGGATACAACTGAAGTTAATTTTCTAAATAAACCATAAGTCAAGAAGAACCTACAACGATATTTATAACACACTATTAGATAAAACGTAAAATCACTAATTGGTATAATCTAAAGAGGGGGGGGAGATAAAGAAGATGAGAGCGCATGCTCCATCTTAAAATAAATAAGAAAATAAGTCTGGAATATAAATGAGAAAATTCTGCTCACCTCCCAACTGTGGAGCCCTGGTTTTAATAGCTGTCAAGCTTCCTCGTAGTCTGTGGTTGACTCCCTATCAAGAAACACAAGAAAATAACCAAAAAAATACTATATATTAGAAATATATTAGACATAGACAACCCACTGATGGAGCCAATGGTGTTATTAAATAAAGGTTTGAAATGATGATAAAATTGTTCACTAACTTACCACTGGAGAATTCCGAAACCCTTTGATTGCTTGAAAGATACCACCACCTATGGTGCCCATCGTAAAAGCTCCACCACAGTCATCCACAATTCGCCAGGGGCTAGAAATTAGAGAGAGTAAAGAAAAGATGAATTCATAATCCCTGGAACCTTTGTTAATACAGTATTAAGTTATGCAACAGAGTCTAATTTAGGACCCACTGTGGCCAATAAACACTTGGTTTATAAATTATAGACAAAAATAAAGGATTCTGGGCATACTTGTATCTTTTTAGTCCTAGGAGTCTTGGTGCAGTGCTGCAGGATAAACACTGGACAGCAAGGTTGGTCTGAATTGTAAGGTCACTGGTTTAAACTCATTATCAGCCTCTCCTTGGAAATCCTATATATGGTCGCTAAGAGTTGGAAACGACTCACCAGCAATTAACAACAGTCCCAAATCATCTAAGATAGAAACAAAGGAATGGGTGCTAACTCCCTACTCTGAACAGCATTGTATTCATTTACTGAACAATCATTGTATCTATTATATGTCAGGCACTGTGCCAAAAACAACAGCTAGAGTGACAGAATATACATCTTCAAAGAAAGATCCTCAGGAAAAACCCAAACAAAAATGGCAGTATGACTGGCTACTACAAGAATAAGCAAGCTGTTCACCGGGAAGCAATCAAGGCAAGCAATCAAGTTCCTTCAAGACAAACCCACTTCTAAGATTGAAACTCAAAGGGAACACATGAGCAGGCATGTAAGCTTACTGACAACCACACTGGTCTACTGGTGAGTGAACAGGGGGATATGAAGCAATAAAGAAATGGACTGAGTTCAACCACGGTCCAGACTCCCGTTGACCTGGAGATGAGAGAGAGAAGAGGAGGAAGGGCTGGTTGGTCCAAAGAGTGGTGAGACGTTGGGACACCTGAGCCCATGGACAAGGACATAGCCACAAAGGGCTAGAGCTGAGAGTGAAGCATCCAGCTGATATGAAGTGAGAGGAGATGCACAATAATACCCAAACTTCCAGAGAGTACCCATTTGACCTAGCTTCAATGGTTTGATAATCAGAACTCGACTAGAGAAAGATTAAAAAAAAAATTTTTTTTTTTTGATAAAGGAAACAAGGGTAAATCGCTGTAATTTGATGAACCTGACCTACACTCATGGAGGTAGTAACTCTAAATACCAACAGAGAGGGAAGGAGTCTTCACATCAAGTATTAATGCTATCCTCTCTGTATACAGGGTGGATAGGGACGGGCAACTTAAACACTGGCTACCTAAAATGAGGGGGTGATAAAGCCACAAAGTGACTGGCTTACAAGGTTTCAAGAGGGAGTTTAGTTGAAGACTGTGAGGGGGAAGAAAGAGTCCCCACTGAATAGTTTTCATCTTGTCTACATGGTCTTGTTAAAAGAGATGGGGATAAGATTCTTATGATTCAACAGTAATAGTTATCATGACTAATTGTTACTGTCAGAATTGTAAGGTAGAAGTTTTTTTTAACAAAAACAGGGGAGTATTTAACCTTACAGTCCAGAAACAGAGGACCCTAGGATCATCAAGGGAGAAGAGCACAAGAGGAATGAGAGACCTTATCCAGAGAAGTAGCGACACCAGAGATGGAGGCAGAGATGGGGACATGGAAAGAGGGAGCATCTGAGGACTCCAGATTCATGAGAAGGCAGGGACTAATAGCTGGCATCCAGGAGGCAGACTTGCAGATTGTGCCCTTTGGTGGTGTAAATTATTATATATGCTTGACTTTTTTTTTTTTTTTTTTTTTTAAAGAGCTACAGTGATTTGGAGGTGGTGGTTATGTACCGTGGAGTCGATTCCGACTCATAGGACCCCATACAGGGTTTCCGAGGCGGTGAATCTTTACGGGAGTAGAAAGCCTCATCTTTCTCCTGCGGAACAGCTGGTAGTTTCAAACTGCTGACCTTGTGATTCGCAGCCTGGTTCGTAACCACTTCACTACTAGAGCTCCTTTGATGGTACACGGAGGGGATTATAATCGTTGTAATGAAACAAGGTGTATGAATTGTTGAGTGTAAAATTGATGATATGCCCTGTAAGCTTTCACTCAATTCACAATGAAAACTTAAAAAAAAAAAAAAAAAGGCAAATAAACAACTTTGAAGTACAGCACATTAACCCACAGCGCCATACCAGGACTCCTTTAACACACAGGGATAGTCTAAAAGCCAATCATTAAGAGGTAAACTTGTAAACCCAGCTTCCAAATGTAGCACCCCACTTTAAAAAAAAAATCTAAAATTTGAGTAATCTGATCATGCTATAAGTCCTCTAGGAGTGTGACTTACAAAACAGTCTGTGAGCAGTAAAATTCACATTCAAATCACTAGAGAAACAAACAAACAAAAAAAAACAAACCCACTGCCAGCAAGTCCATTCTGACATATAGTGACCCCAAATAGGGTTTCCAGTACTAGAAATCTGTATAAGAGGACCACCTCATTTTTCTAACATGGAACAGCTTGTGAGTTTGAACCACTGACCTTACAGTTTGCAGCTAGCCCAGTGCTTAGCCAACAGCACCACCAGGGCTCCTTTCAAATCATATTATAGGTAAAACAAATTGCTTTTACATAGTCCAAAGGACAAATGCTATTGATAAACCTATGAGCAATTTACCTGTTCAAATAAACTTGTGATTCTGCTGCTGCTGCAGAATTTGAATAATTAGTTATCTCTGGTGTTGTTAGGTAATAAACATAAAGTCCTGAAGTCAAAACACTATGTCCTTTACAAGAACAATAGAAATCAGGACCTGGTACAGAATGACTAGCTCCTGTAGTTGCTATTAGCTGTTCTGGAGTCTGCCTAAGACTGATAGCGGTTGCACGTACAATAGTTAACACATCGCTGTTTATGACTGCACCACCTCCATGATCCGTTGGGGACCAGACCCACTGTGATCCACAGGGTTTTCTTTGGCTGATTTTGGCAAGCCTTTCTTTCTTGTCCCCATTAGTCCTTTTCAACATCACAACAAGCAAACCTCCACCTGTGGTATGAACGTGCACGTTGGCCATAAAACAGGCATTAATCTTCACAGGTGTATTATATGGAAGGCAAGACGCCTATCACTGAGCCACCATGCATCTTATGTTGTTGTTATGAAGCACCACTGAGTCATAGTGACCCTATATAGGGTTTCCAAGGAGCAGCTGGTAAGTTAGAATTGCCGCCCTTGCAGTTCAAACTGACCTTTAGGTCTAGTGATTTATTCTACAATGCCACACCAGAAGCACTCTCAGGCAATAGAAAATTCAATTTGTCAGCAGGATCCTTTGGGGCTCTACCATCCAATGTGTGGACCAAGACTAGCAAAATCAGTACCACCCAGGAGTTTGTTAGAAATACAGATTCTTGGGTCCCACTTCAAACCTACCAAATCAAAATATCGTATTTTAGCAAGATCCATGAATGACTTGATTCCAGATTACAAAATTTGAGCAGCTTTGAAGTACTACAAAGGATTGAGAAATTTTCTTGAAAATGGTAGGAACATGAGTAGGGAAGGCTAAGGCTACAGAAAGGCTAAGTGGGTCAGTAACTTGTAATGAGACAGGAATAAGATCTGTAGCTCTATCAGTACAGGAAAGAACAAGTAAGAAATCTGTGGACACTCAAAAAATTTTTAAAAGGTATTTTATAAATCGTCAACATTGCTTAATGTTCCTTTGAAGTTGGTTAGTGGTGGGAAGAGCCTATTTACCAAATTCCAAAATTTCTTCCTGGATGACTGAATTATAGTCAATGTCAAGTAGCTATAAATCCTGATTTACTACGTATTAGCACTATGATCTGCTGCAAGAGACATCGCTGTGTTTCCACATCCACCAAACACACATACCTCAAAAGTATGTGGTAGAGGTTAAGTGACAATGTCAAAAACATTTAAGTTAGTGAGAGATTAGCTATGGATGGCACAGTCAAGTGCTTGACCAACTAACTGAAAGGTTGGAGACTCAAACCTACTCTGAGGTACCTTGGAAGACAGGCTAGAAACCTTGTTTCTGGAAGGACTGCTTTGAAAACACTAAGGAGCAGCTCTATTCTGTAAGCCACAAGTCGGAATTGCCTTGACAGCAACTATCAAAAACACAATTATTGAGTGAACAGAAAAATTACATGAGTTATATTTCATAATTGAACGGTAAACGAAAGAAAAAAGCCTTAAATGTTGGAACCTAAAACTACCAGCAAAACATCTAGTATGCTAGGTTTTCACTCTAATGGATACTTAAGTAATTGAAAGTAAGAGAAAGGAGTCCTGGTGTGGCTCTGTGGGTTAATGCGCCAAACTGCAAAGCCGTTTGAACTGCAAGGTTGGCAGTTCAAGCTCACCAGCTGCACCTAGGAAACCCTATACAGGGTCACTATGAGTCGGAACCGACTCCATGACACTTAACAATAAGTAAAAGAAAAGCCAAAACTCAATAATTAGAAAACAAAATAAGTAGAATTGTTATCAGCCAATGGTCTTCACACCACAGAAATAGTTCCTCTTGGTTGCCAGCTACTTCTGCATCAACACATTCATTCCACTGAGAAAGACACAGGAATGAAGGAAGAAACTAGATGATTTCAGACCTATTAAAAATACCCAAGGAGTCCCTGAGTTATATAAATGGTTAAGTGGTTCAGATGCACCCAGAAGTGCCATGGAAGGCAGGCCTGGTTATCGGCTTCTGAAACATTCTAAAAACCCAATGGAGCAGTTCTCCTCTGCACATATATATGAGGTCACCATATGTGGGAACTTACTCAACAGTAACTAGCAACAAAAAAACATTCAAAGGTTTGAGTTCTTATCATAAATTTTTACTTCAGTTTATATACCTCCTCACTGGCAATTTACCAGAGGCAAAAATCAGTATCTTTTCTCCCCCCTCCTGAGTCTTGGTGAGCCTCTGTAAGATAAGCACTTGATCATAAAGTTAGTTTGAACCACAACACTGGCTGTTCAAACTCACCAGCCACTCCTTGGAAACCCTATACAGGGTCGCTGTGAATGAAACCAACTCCACAGCACTTAACAACAACAATATTAATAAATTAGTATTAACTTTTACAGAAGATTGTATGCAAACCACAGATAGACCTAAATGATGTTACTAATTAGTTGGAGTTAAAATAAATGAGCATTTAAAAAAAAAAAGAAAGAACAACAAGATTCAGATTAGCCATCAGCCACAGTATTCCAAGAGTATGTCCAAAAACAACAGCAAGATAGAAAGTTTCTGAACAAAGTCTTGCTAAATAAAAATATTCCTACAGGAAGCAATGGGCTATATGAAAAATGGGTGGAAGACCAGATTCCGAAAGAAAGTAATGTGAAACAAATACAGGCAACAGAGAACCAGTAACAGTAACAAGATTAAAAGTTACCAGTAAGTATCAACTATGTTGTAGGTGCCCTGTAACTCAAACAAACACCTATCAATTTTAAGAAAGCTAGGTTAAGTCATATAAGGTCCCAAATCTTTTAAATATGAAAAAGGGAGTACTATCATCTTCATTTTACAAGTGAAGCAGCCTAGACTCAAAGAGAGAGAAAGCTTAGGATCTAAATATCCATCAACAAATGGAAACACAAAATGTTACAATTCTGTTGCATTCATCAAACAAAATTATTACTCAGCTATATTATGGAGCTCTGATAGCTTAGTGGTTACAATCAGGCTGCTATCCTCAGGGTCAGCAGTTGGAAACTACCGGCTGCTCCGCGGGAGAAAGATGAGTGAGGCTTTCTGCTCCCGTAAAGATTTATAGCCTCGGAAACCCTGTACAGGGTCGCTATGGGTCGGAACCGAATCCACGGCACATAACAACAACAATAAAGGGAAATGAAGTCCTGATGCATGTTACATGATTATGAATCCTGGCATCAACTATGTTAAGAGATATATATGAGTCACAAAAAGGTAAATACTGTATGAAAAAGATGTTTGTAGTTTTCAGCTTGGATGAGTTGAGAAAATGCTGTTACTGGAATCCTGATGTGGCGCTGTGGGTTAATGCGCCAGACTGCAAAGCCATTTGAACTGCAAGGTCAGCAATTCAAGCTCACCAGCTGCTCCTCTGAAACCCTATACAGGGTCGCTATGGGTCGGAATTGACTTGACTGCACTTAACAACAACATCTACAAAAACGGCAGTCAGATCAAAGCAGTTTTGACTACAAAACTAACCAGAAAACTGATTGTACTGCTGCTGGTGTCGTCGACGTGGTGTGCTATGGAGCCGGTTCCGACTCATAGCGACCCTATACAGGGTTTCCAAGGCTGTAAATCTTTACGGGAGCAGAAAGCCTCATCGTTCTCCTGCGGAACAGCTGGTAGTTTCGAACAGCCAACCTTAAAGCTCACAGCCAGATTCGTAACCACTATGCTACCAGAGTTCCTACACATTAAAAAAAACAAAGAGGCTACCTAATGAATTGGTAAATAAAAACGCATTATTCTCTTAACAACAACAATTCTCTTAACAGCTTTAACGCAACAAAGCTATATACTTTATCCTCCTGCCTAGCTGTGATCACAAGGAGCTCTGGTAGTGTAGTGGTTACGAGTCGGGCTGCTAACCTCACTGTCACCAGTTCGAAACTGCCAGCCGTTCCAAACTACCAGCCGTTCCGTGGGAGAAAGATGAGGCTTTCTGCTTCCGTAAAGATTTACAGTCTCGGATACCCTATACAGAACTCACTATGAGTCGGAACCTACTTCATGGCACACTACCACCACCACCAGCTGTGATTATATGCTACCCAAAAGCAGTCAACAGCTGCTACAAAGCACTGAGTGTTACAATGGGGAATACAAGGCAGTAAAAAGGGGGACAGATGCCTTGGTGAAGGTTACCCTTAAAAAACGGAGAAAAGGGCTGAAACACTAAAGTCCTATTATTTACGGAGTCCTGGTGTGGCGCTGTGGGTTAATGTGCTGGACTGGAAAGTCGTTTGAACCCCAAGTCGGCAGTTAAAACTCACCAGGCGCTCCTCGGAAACCCTATACAGGGTCGCTGTGGGTCAGAACCGACTGAACGGCACAACAACAACAACGTACTATTTAAGGAATGGGAGGTCACAAAGTAATCAACAAGGACATGTACACCCTTAACTAAAGGAAACTTCAGTTCTTGCTCTTACACAACAGTGGTGGTGGTGGTGTGTACTGTGAAGTCGGTTCTGACTCATGGCGCCCCTGTACAGGATTTCCGAGGCTGTAAATCTTTACGGGAGCAGAAAGCCTCATCTTGCTTCCGCGGAACCGCTGGTAGTTCCGAACCGCTGACCTTAAGGTTAGCAGTCCAACTTGTAACCATTACGCTATACACAACAGTGGATGAGACCAAATAACAAGATATTTTCCACTTATTATCCAATTATCTGGTTGAGAATTCTGCTCAGGTAACCCAGAGTTTGGCCACTAATTGAAAGGTCAACAACCAGGTGCTCCTCCTACCACCTTAAAGATTTACAGGCTCCGACACCCTGCAGAGCCCGGTTGGTAGGGTCATTAAGAGTCAGAAGAGACTGGAAAGCAACCGGTTTTGTTTGGCTCTCGGGTGTATACAACCCTTTATTCTTTGAACTTAACAATCCCTGGGGCAAGCATAGGGCCCTCAATCAATAAACGTTGAGTGAATGAATTTCTTCCTCTCATGGCTTTTTATCGAACACAAGCTACTTACTATCTTTCTCTTTTCCAGATAATTTTTGCACGTCCCTCTCCCAAAGCGAGAATTCCAAGCAAAAAAACAAGGCTCCAGTCTACAGGGAGCATACATATCCAGATCCTTTGGGAAAAGCTTAGATTCCATTTATCCGAAATGCCTCGTCGTGTGGACACATCACGATACAAGTACGGTCTTAGGCCAACGGCCCCATTTCAGGGGCCTCTCTCCCTGTTCTCAACGTAGGAACTAAACTGAGAAAAGTGAGGCGTAGGGACGCGTCCAAGGTCACCTGCGGGCCGAGAATCACTAACTCCCACACAAGACCGACGGTGCCCTGGATTGCCAGGAGGCGCTGAGGCTCCATCGAGTCCAAGCCTGGATATCCTGACCCTCCGCAAGGTTACCGGGGTGCTAGGTTGGGCGCAGCAACGCTGCCTCACGCGGCCCAGGAGGTACAGGGCTACGGATCCCATTGGCCGCTCAAGCATTTGCTGCCCACAGTTACCAAACCTGCGTCGACGAGCATGCGGCTGAGTCCGGCTTGCACATCGGGAGACGGGCTAAAGGATTTGGGCAGAAGGGCAGGATAAAGGCAAGGACAGCGTATAAGGCTTACCAAGGTTCTCGCGCGTACTCCTCCATCTTGACTCGAGCTCCGCAAGCGATGCCGGGCAACCTGGGCGGAGCCTGATCCCAGCGGCGGAAATGATCCCAAGAGGAGGACGTTAAAGTCTATGGGGATTGGGTCCCCGTTTTCTCCTGTAGCCAATGGGAGTCGTGATTCCTGGGGAGGGCGGGGGCAACGTGGGGGCGGGGACATTGACTCCGGCGCAGGCCAGGCTCCGTTAGGCGCGGCTTCCGGGCTCTGTGGTGATGTTTGTATCCGGTAATGAAGCGTACAGGTTACCCAGCCCCTGAGGCTTCGGTAGGAACCTTAGTGGCACAGTGGGTTAAGTGCTGGGCTGCTAACCGAAAGCTGGACTGTTGAAATCTACGTTGCCTTTTTGCGGGAGATTTACAGCATTGGAAACCTTATGGAATCGTTCTACCCTGTCCTATAGAGTCATTGAGTCAGTCACTGAGGGTAATGGGTTTGACTTACGGTTTTTTGAGGCGTCAGTGGCCTGGGAGTAATGAAAAACAAGCAGAAACTACTGCCATAGAGTCGTTTTCGACTCACAGCGACCCTACCTATGTAAGTATGAAGTGCCGTCGAATCAGTTCCGACTCATAGGAACCCTGTATAGGGTTCCCGAAGGAGCTCTGGTAGCTTAGTGGTTACGGAGTCGGGCTGCCAACAGCAGTTCAAAACTACCAGTGGTTCTGCGGGAGAAAGATGAGGCATTCTGCTCTCGTAAAAGATTTACAGCCTCGGAAACCCTGTGCAGGGTCACTATAAGTCGGAACCGACTCCAGGGTACTTACCAACAACCAGCAATAAGGGTTTCCAAGAAGCGGTTGGTGAATTTGAACCTCCGACCTAGAGGTTGAAACTGATCTTGCGGTGCAGTGCTTATCATACTGCGCCACACCAGGAGGGAAAAATTGCCCTATAGGGTTTCAAGGTGGAAAATCTTCCAGGGAGCAGCATGGTAGATTTGAACCACCGACCTTTTGGTCTACAACCAAGCACTTTAACCACTGTGCCACAAGGGCTCCTAGCCTGACATAACCCTGCTATTATTCCGATAGAGTTCACCAAACACCTTATATTTTCTCTTTTTAGTACTTTTGGCCCTCAGTCTGATTTCTAACTGGCCTTGAATTGTGAAGCTCTAAACAACCACACGGAGCTCCTTTGCTTGTTTAAGACGATCAGTGCCTCGAATAAAGCAGAGGAACAACAGTTGGTGAAATGGAATGACTTGAGCTATCTGGAGTGCCATGACCAATTTGCTGTTGTTAGTAAGTGCTGTGGAGTTGGTTCTGACACATAGCAACCCGTGTGAGGTTCCAACACATAACAACCCTGTATAAGGTTACTGCCAACCTTGTATCCCACAGCATCACACCAGGACTCCATGACCAATTTGGGGCCCTGTATTTGAGAGGCTTCATCCATGCCTACCTTGTAAAGGTCACCAGACAATGTCAAAGGTGTTGCGCCCCAAGAAGAGGTGTCTAAAAAGATGGGAACATATTTTTCTCTTCTTTGAACTTCGTCTACAATAATCATGAAATGGCAGTTAAAGCATTCAGCACTTTTGTGGTTAACTTTGAAATATGTATATATTTATTTTATGGACAAGTCGGTGGAGTAAATATGAAGGAGATTACAGGAAGGGAAAAATGTCCCCTCAGAAAGCTTAGAAATTAGACAAGTAGATGAACAGAATGTGTCTTGTACATGAGAAGAAAGTTCAAACTAAGAATCTGATTTGGGTAAATTCAAGGACTGTTTGGAGTGTGTAACTGTAATTAAGAAAACTTGTGTCTAATGAACTGTATAAATGAAGAGAAAATATGGGAGATAGCAACATGGAGCCTAGAATGACAGCAAGAATATAATAGTTAGTCAGCATGCCAAACCTGGGGAGTATAAGTATTTCATTAAGTAGAGATTTGCACTTTCATGGAGTCAGCTATTTTTCTGTCTCACCAGGGCCTGAAAGAAATTTCCTGTCTCTAGCTACCTCCCTTTGACTTTATTCCATGTTCTTCATTCACTTTTCTGATTTTTATTTGGTTTTAAACTAGCAGTAGATTTTCCTTAAGGAGACAATACCCTTAACCTGTGCTCATAATTATTCTTTTCATATTGGTTTATGTAACAGCCCCTTATGAGTTTGGTTCCTTGTAATCAAATGAATCCACCATGAGTGGAAATAATACTGGATTTCTGAGTTTCTAAATCTGAGGACAGACTTGTTAAGTGCTGTTGAGTCAATTCCGACCCATAGTCACCCTGTATGGGGTTTCCAAAGAGCAGCTGGTGAGCTTGAACCACCAACCTTGCGACTTTGCAGTCTAGCACATTAATCCACAGCGCCACACCAGGACTCCCAGGACAGACTTGGGCTGTGGCTATTCAGTTCACTTTATCCCAAAAGTCCCTTTCCTGAATGATTTTACTGTTCTGGAGGCCCTGCTCATTCATTGCCTTTAAACTTTTTAACCTCTCTGCCCTGTTTTAACTGTAAAAGGGTGGAAAAGGACATTCTTAACTGGGCAAGACCTGATATTTAGCCTTGAGTGACTGATTCTTTAGAAGTAGATCACCAACCCTTGCTTCCAAGAAGTCTCTGAATGGCCTCTAACCTCAAAGCTTTCAGTTAGCAGCTGAATGCACCACTAGTGAATTTTAAAGAAGTCTGAAGAATTGGGTGGGAAGATAGGAAAAACTGTTGGGGGTCCTTGAATCACCATAAAGATGAAGGGACGTTTGAACAGGTGATTCATTACACATCAGGGTATATTCTGTTGAAAGTCAGTATTCTGGGTCCAGTGTGCTATCGATGGTGGAGCCCCTTGTGATCCAGGTACTCTGGATATTACATATAGCTACATGTGTGAACTGAAAGAGCTATGAGTCCCGGAAATGGTTTTGCTGTGATGTTTCCCCAACTGAGCCAAATGAGAGAAGGAAGATCCTGCCATGTAGTTCAGGGTAGACGAGCTCTATGAGGTAACAGTCTGACAGAGAGGTTGGTGCCTTTTTCTCCATCCTAAAGTAATTGTCGCTGCAAGATAATGCACTGGACCGCAAGGTCAGTTTGAACCGCAGAGTAGTGGTTCAAACCCACCAGCCGCTCCTTGTAAGCCCTAGACAGGGTTGCTATGAGTTGGAAAGGACTTGACGGCACTTAACAACAACAAAGTAATTATTCAAGGAGCCCTGGTAGCATAGTGGGTTACAAGTCAGGCTACTAACCACAATTCAAATCTACTAGCTACTCTGAGGGAAAAGGATGAGGTTTTCTGCTTCTGTAAATATTTATGCTATGAATTGAATTACCATCACGAAAGTAATTACTCACCCATCCACTAGCCCTGTCTCACAATTAGCTTTTGTTCATCTTTATTCACTTTTGGACAGACAGGTGTGTGTTTTTTTTTTCTTGGAAGGAGGACTGGGGTTGGGAAGAGTGACCATTTGACAGATATTAAGGGTGGGTAGGTAGCAGGGATGAAGGAAGGAGTGAAAAAAAAATCAAACAACATTGCATGGGGCAAACCTGCAAAAAATCTCTTTAAAGTTTTTAAAAGCAAAATGTCATTTTGATAACTAAAGTGACACAGCCTTTTTATTGCTTTGCATGCAGGTAAAAGCTGGATAATGAAAAAAAAAGAAGACAGAAGAATTGATGTATTCAAATTGTGTTGCTGGTGAAGAAAATTGAAGATACTGGGAACTGTACCACCAGAAGTATAACCAGAATGTTCATTAGAAGCATGGATGGTGAGACTTTGATTTGCTTAATTTGGACATTCATCAGGAAAGGGCATTTACTAGAAAATGACATGTTTGAGAACCGAGGGCTGATAAAAATGAAAGAACTCCTTGGTGAGATGAAATGACACAGTAACTGCAACAGTAGACTCAGACATACAAACAGTTATGAAGATGGTGCAGGGCTGGTGGTGGTGATGTGCTGTGGAGTTGATTCTGACCCATAGTGACCCTGTATGGCGTTTACGAGGAGCAGCTGGTGAATTTGAACTGCTGACTTTGCAGTTCAAACCGATCTTGTGGTCCAGTGCATGATCCCACAGTGCCACACCAGTGGAGTTGGTTCCAACTCATAGCGACCCTGTATAGCATTTCCGAGGCTGTAAATCTTTACAGGAGCAGAAAGCCTCATCTTTCTGTCATGTAACAGCTGGTAGTTTTGAACTGCTGACCTTGAGATTAGCAACCCGATTCGTAACCACTATGCTACCAGAGCTCCTTAGGTTAGGGTGTGCAAAAAAGATTGACATGGCTCTACTTCTACTGTCAAAGTCCTCAACATACTTGAGAAGAATATTCACTCGTAAAAAATACTTGATTTTGTAACAAGGAAGGGAGTGATTAATTCTCCAGGATAGGAGCAGAGGCCTGTGGGACCATAAACGGAGAAGAGCCGAGAGCGGGACCCTACCCAAAGAAACAGAGATGCCTGAGATAGAGACAGATGATGACGTGAAGTGATGAAGCGACTGGGGACTTTGAACCCAGAGAGGGAAAGGAACTGTAGGCCAAAAACTGGGGGGAGGAGGGGGAAGTGTAGGGGGCGGGTTTCTGGGATATACCCTTTGGGTGGTTGATGATCCATGGAGGGGATTGGAACCATGGCAATGAGATGATATATGATGGAATGAATGTAAAACTAAAGTTCTCCCATGTAAACTATCACATAATTCACAAGAAAACATTTTTTAAAAAATACTTGAAATGTTAAAATGTGTGACATAGCCCATGTTAAGTACTAAAGGCATTCAGAGAGTAGAGAGTCCTTGGGGCTAGAATGGTCTCACAAAACTTTCGTGAACAGTTGACATTTAAGCTATAACTTGAAGAACAGTAGGATTTTGATAGGTAGAGAGCAGGAAGGCGGGCATTCAAGTAGAGGGAATGAAAGCAACAAAGATATGGAGGCAGAAAAACTTTAATGTCAAATTGAGAGAGTAAAAAGGCCTAGAAGAAGGGAGAATGAGGCTATCTCAAGTATTAAAGTTCT